TGCTGCCCCAACGCAAGCCCCTACTGCTGCACCAACGCAAGCACCTACTGCTGCACCAACGCAAGCACCTACTGCTGCACCAACGCAAGCACCTACTGCTGCACCAACGCAAGCACCTACTGCTGCACCAACGCAAGCACCTACTGCTGCACCAACGCAAGCACCCACTGCTGCACCAACGCAAGCACCTACTGCGGCACCAACGCTAACACCCAACCCTCCTTGTACAAATTATCCTGGAAGTGATGAATTCGAAAAAGCTGTTGATGATTTGAAGAAACTAAGAGATGATCTTCAAGCATCCGAATCATCTACACCTGAAATTGCCAATGAAATTGATCTGATTCAAGATGCCATCGATGAACTTACTTCTTATTTGAATAGTAATTGTGATAATTTAGATACCGATTTTGTGAATGGAAGACTTTCATACATCAAGACAAAGTTGATAGATTTACAATTTAATGTTGAAGCATTCATAGATGATTTAAAACCAGAGATATGTGGTGGCACTGTTTGTGCTCCCAATTTAGTTTTACATGATGATTGTATATGTTATTGTCATTTGGGTTGCAATGCAAGCCAAGTGCATGATTGGGCCAATTGTTTTTGTAGAGAATTTCAAGAAGGAGTGCCCACTCGTGGATGGGAAGAGACTATTAAAAACCTTATTGACAAGATTTCTGCTATCACAAGTGATTCTGAATTTGTGAAATCTACACTCAATACACTTTACGAACTCTTGGATGATGCAAAAGCGACTAAATATGACACGTCTTTCAGATTCGAAGAATTTGGTAGGGATACATTGATAGAGCGAATTGAAGCAATCACAACACGAATCGATGAAATTACAACAGAAATCGATACTTACATTTCCTCAGGCCAAGTTTGTGCAGAAAGCAATTGTCCGGAAAACTACGTTCCAGTGAAAGAAACCTGTGAATGTTATACATCTCAAAAAGTTGGAAAATATTTTGAAATCTCAACAAGATTCATTACTCTTCACAAGAAAATTTTCAATTATGATGGTAAAGATATTGATAATGAAATCGATGGATTAAAAGAAAAAGCTTTGGCTATTCAAGATCTGTCTGCAAAGATATACAATTACTTCTATAATAACAGTGAAGCACCTGATGATGCTGTTATTGATGCTATGATTCAAGAAATGTCTGAAAAAGTGGAACAACTCGAAAAAGATAATGCTGATTTTATCGACAAGAATAATCCATCATGTACATTTGAAGGTCCATGTGAAATCAACGAAGTTCTTAATAAAGCCATAAGTATTTGCGCATGTGTTCCAGTAGATAACTACGGAAGGCTTCCAGATATTGAGAATGACTTGGAAAGACTAAGAAATGATATAAATACTCTTAGTGTATCCCAAGACAAAAGGGATAAACTACTAGAGAATTTGGACACGTTAAAACAAGGAATACCGGACTTGAATAAATATGTTGACGATTCCACTAACGATCTGGATGTAGGATTTGTGCAAGAAAGAACAGATCAACTTGTTGAATGGTACGAAAGACTTAAATCTGATGTAGCTGCAGCTCAAGGAGGTAACACAAACGAAACATGTGATGTTCAATGTCCTAATGCGAGATGGAATTATGATGCCGATGTTTGCAGTTGTACATGTGATGTTCAAAATTGCAACAATGGAGAAGTTTTCGATCCTTGGGGTTGTCAATGTGTGGAACAGACTGATTGTACTGAAACTTCAGAATCATGTGGCGACGAAATATTGGATTATGCAACGTGTACATGCAAACCAGCACCTTAAAGGAATCTTTGAAAACATCAATAAGAAACTTGGATAAATTTTATTTGGGATGTATTTTAATGTTTATTTCATAAATAAAATTAGCAATTAAGATCTTACGTTAAAGCACAACTTAAATAAGAATGTTTCAATTGGACCAAAATTTTTAATATATTTTGATTGTTTTGAAACACGTAATAAGTATCACTAATTCTAAAACACTGAACACGAATACCGAACACTTTTATTACTTATTACTTTAACTAAGTTTACCTTATTTATGCGCATTTCGATAGCGCATCGGCTATCATCATCAGAATCTCGATTCGTACTAAGGATTATCTCTCAGTACACGTCAATGTGTGAGTGCAATTTTGAAAAGACTTGACTTTATCGGAGGATCGTCAATGTTCGTCAGTTCCGTTCCATTTTCTATGTACAAACTTTCCCAAGCGTCCAATTGTCTCTCGTCTCTTACTTCTTTGATTATCTTGCCTTCAGCCATTTCGTGTGTTTCATCTATGCAATGCATGGCCATAGCAGATTTCTTTCTTTGTCCCTTCCTGAAATATCTCTTATGTTCTTTAAACCGATCGCTGAATCTTCTATAAGTTTGTCCAATATATTTGCTTGGACAATTTGCACAGCTAATTTCGTAAATTCCAGGTTTTTCTTTCATCGGGATCTTGTCTTTGGAGCTTCCAAGTAAGTCTTTCAAGTTTCCATTCGTTGTAAAATAAGGATTGATGTTGTGTTTTTTCAGAATTTTTTCAACTTTATATGCCAAAGAGGGAACGAAAGGAATTTCACAAAAAATATTTTTATTTTTTCCATTTCTTAATGTAGCTATTTTCCTCTCTTTTCTTAGTGGTTCTAGAGTCGTGAGCTCTTTTCTTTTCTTCTTCCATCTATGTTTATCAAAAATGATTTCGATGCGGTCTCTTTTATAGCCGTTGATAGCAGCCGTTTCCAATATGAAATGTTCTTCTTTCTCATGTCTGTCTTTATTCAATGGGGTGTTGAATAAGCGATGAGCCATTGTTTCAAACGCTGCCATTTTGTAGGAGCAAAATTTTTAAATTTTTTTCAAGTATTTTGTTTCATAATTCAAGTCCCAAATTTAGAATCCAATATTAAAAGAGTTTTTTTTTCTTTTTCGTAGATTGATTGAAGTTTCTTAAAAGATTAATTATCTAAATGAGAAGAAAAAATATTAGAAAAAAAATTCGGAAAGGATAATTAACATTAAAGGACTTTCAGAGTAATCTTCGTTTGATAAGCTGATTGAACAAAATACTAAAACAAGTACAGTCGATTTTCGATAAACACTTACTTTGATAGGCAGATATCCGTCATAAGCAGATATTTTTGCATGCACTCAAATTTCTATAAAGTTTTGCCTCAATTAACTGATAACCTCGACAAACTGATGCTCCGATAAACGATCACAAAATTTATATTGAAAACTGAACATTTTAGATATTAGAATTTTTAAAAACTGGGATGTTCATTTACTCAGTTGGTCAAGATTCGAATTTAGCGATTGTGTGATGAAAATTTATATTATCTATTTGTTAAATATGTAACATTAACACGAGCCAAGTGCTTTTTTATTTTTCAAAATGTCAGCATCAGCAAAAAAATTCAAACACCAGGCTGGAACTTATAAACAAAAAATGCTCATCATCAATAATGTTAAGAATTCTGGTGAGTCAATCTAAATGTGATGGATGAGTTCAACATCAAGCAATCAGCAATAAATTGCAGCATAATTTCTTTAGTTTTTTTTTAAAAAAAATATGATAGGTAATTCCTAATTTTGTCTTTCACTTGCAAAGATAAATTTAATGGGTTTTTAAATTTTAAACACGTCACATTTACTTTTGCTATGATATGATATCTGGTATCTTATCAAGGCCTTGAGTTATTTGTTTATTAAAGTTCCACTGTAGTTTAAATTTATTTACTCTGACATTTCTTCAGGTTTTATAAATCACAAGAAGATCTGCCTTGCTTGGTAAGAAAAAAAAGCGAAACGTCGAAAGGTTTTCGAGAACAAAGATTTTTTTGGTTCTCCATGAAAAGATTAGAACAAGCATCTGTTTGTCGATACAAAAATTTCACTTGAATTTCTTTCATCTTAAAACTAAGTCAATATCTAATAGGTAGGTAATTAAATATTTATCTAACGTCAAGAATACTTAACTGTAAAACTTGTTACTTTTATTCATCACATGACATCTTTTAATAAGATTTTAAATATCCGTATACATCTTCGATAAGCCTAAGAAAACAAGTATTGACATTAGGAATAAAAAAATTCAAATTAATAAAAGATAATTAAGTAACGAAACGAATATAGACGCTTCATTAATTAATGTAACACTTTTTAAGTGCCGAAAACAAAACGCTTTAATTAAAAGATACCTAATTGTTCAAAAGATAATAGAACTATTTTTTAATGAATGAAAAGGAAAAAATTAATTATTTAATTATTTTCTGATTAATTTCAATATTTTTAACGCTGCTGTGACTGTTTTGTATATATAATGTTCTTTTTTCGTTTTCTCAAGATTGATTAATTTTAACGTTTGTTTTTTGGATATTTAATATTACAAGTAGGTAATATTATGAAGAACTTTTTAGTGGTATAATCAGACTTGAATAAAAAAGCGATTTTTTTCTGATTCTTTCGATTTTATTATAAGCCATCTTCAGACATTCTATGAATGTTAACAACTTTATCAGCAAATCTTGTAAATCACCAAAAAGATAAAAGGATTTATCAAATTCACAAAATTTAGTCAATACAAAATATTCAAACACATGACTTATCTCATGTAAATTCATTTAACTAATAAAATGTGTTTGCGATCGAACAATTACACATTCACGAATCCTAGTTTCTTTCTTTTTCTTCTCCAATTTTATATCAGGTGCAAAATTCCGTTGTATATGTGACTTCTGTTTACGGGTTTGTTGTTTATGATGTACAACATCTCTTACACATTTAGGTGTGACATGTTGCTTGCCTGATCAAGAATTTTTACATTGTTGAAGTCAAATACCTACATCGAATTCTGCAACATGTTCAATTAATGCGGGTTTGCTAATTATTTCTCTTAAATCCGTTTAATTGGTGATATCTGTATTAATTATTCGATTTAATTTTCTATCTTACTGATAAGCATCAAAATAATTTGAGATGAAAACCTTTTAGTAGAAGAAATTGTAAAAATCTATCTCTCATTTTGTGTTTCCGGCAGGAAAAAGCCATCAAAATAAATTTGAAAAAATATTTTAAATCACCGCGGGTTCATTTACACAAAAAGTTCTGTAAACCTGAAATTAAAAAGTAACAAAGTTCTTCATTTAATTCTCACAGATTTCTTTCATTAAAATGATTAATGAAGTTACAAGTTTCAAATTATTATTTTTTACTCGATCTACGATTATGAAACAGAAATTATCTGATCGTGCTAAAACTTGTGTAGAAACTCTCTTTACAAACAGTCTGGCTCAAATAATGGGCGAATGATAATAAGGTTGTAATTAATCCTACGAAATCGAATGCAATTGTTATTGCAAGAAAACCAGTAAATAACTTACCTGCATTGAAATTGGGAAATGATAAAATTGAATATTCAAGTAAGGTAAAAAGTTTGTGAGTTATCATAAATCAAAATCTTACATGGAATGATCACATTCATAAAGTATGTTGCGATATCAATATGGGAATTAGAATGTTAAGCCAAACAAAGCATTTTACACCTCGTGAAACAAAACTCGGTTTAGTCAAGTCGCTCTTAATTCCTAAGCTTGATTACTGTAGCAATATTTATTTAGGTGCTTCGAGGGCAGCTTGGAAAGAGATTGAATTAGCGTATAATTCATGTATCAGATACATTTTTGACAGAAGACGTTACGAATCAGTATCTCAATACAAATCTAATGTCGTTGGTAGCTCGATAGAGAATTTCTTAAAATATAGGGCGTGCCTTTTCATCTACAACTTGCTACGTTACAAACAGCCCGAATATCTTTATGAGAAAATAATCTTTACGAAATCGTTGCGGAATCGAGTTTTACAAATACCTTCACACCTAAGATCACAGTATTCTAATTCTTTTTTTGTTCTTGGAATCCAAATATGGAATAGCATCAAAACAGACATAAGAATGACTAACTCTGCTGCGGAATTCAAAAAGAAGTGCTTGTCTTACTTTAACTTGCAGTGAATATAGAAGTTAATGCTCAACCTTCCCCTTTCCCATCCTTAAAACACACAATGAATCATTGCTAGCCTATGATGGCTGAAATTTATTTGGTGCTGAGATATGAAGTGATAATATTTTACTTCATTGAGATTGTATGATTTTTATCAATCATGTCATAGTTTTAATTTGTCTTGTTTCAAGAATAAAATTTCATAAGACAAGCTGTAATCATTAGAAGATTTTCTTAGAAAATCTTAAAAAGAGCATGCTCTTAAATGTTTCCAAATGAAGAAATAAATAAACATACAAACAAACTACAAAATAAAACTGATTGAAATTCTTCTTACAAAATAGTTGATGTTGATGTAAAACGAAATACGGTTTTCAGACAATAAGAAGATTTTATTCTCAGATTTATCTCATCGACTAGTTTCGGTGGCAAAATATAGTTCAGTGATTAATTTTTTATATAATTTGTAGAAGATCCTGATGATGGTGACATTTTGCCACCGA